AGTTATATTGTACTATTAAATAGTAATAACACGATTATTAGTTATATTATATTAAATAATAATAATATAATTACTATTATTTTTAAGATTTAATGAAAATATATCGTTAGTGTAAAATAATTTTATATTATCAATAAATCATAACCGTTTAATTTTTTTAAAATTATATATGAAATATTTTTTTAAAGATTATAATATATTGAGTGTATAAAATATTTTATATTGATAGTACACTACTTTTAAACTATTGTAATTTTTTTTATAACCATGATATAGGTACAAACATGCATGTTTGTTTAAATGGAATTAATTTTAGTTAAAGAATTTTGTGGATATACACGGTTTTCATCACACCTTTTCTTCTTATTGAATTATCATTAATAAAATTAAATATTTTGTTATTTATTCTTTAATAATTGATCATATCTGATTAAAAGAGATTGTCAAAACTCACAAGTTTCAAGTCGAGCAGTAGTTGAATATGAAGTGACCTGCAAGACACTCTGATGTCAAAGTGAGATTCAAAGTAAGTGCAAGTAAGTATGAGAGTATAAGTAAATGAATGAATATATGATCCTCTCAAATGAAGGGGTATTTATATCTCTCAGCGTTGAGCCAAGATCTCCATTGATGAACTGAGCAAGCTGACACAAAAGAGAGACTGCCAGGTTCTATGTGCGTCGTGGGGGCCAACATGTGGTCTCTAACCTGGATGGAGTCCTCCGAACTATCAGGAAGATATGGATGCAGTCTTTTTGGGGTTAAGGAGACTCTGTGACATTCGGAGGTGTTGAGTGCCAGCCTTACGAGGAGGATGCTCGGGAGGTCCTTCTGACCGTTGTTGGTCTTCCTCGCCAGTTGTGAGGTTGTCCCTGGAAGACATATCTTGGTCGACGAGAAGAGTGGATGATGCTGTTAGCTGAAGATTTCGACATTTGATAAAAATATGAAAGTTGATGTGAGAAGATCATGGTTTAAAAATAACATGAAATTGGACCTTATAAGGTAATTTTGTAAAGCTCATTTTATGATTCGACGTGTCGAAAGGGCAACTTAAAGTGAAAGAAATATTTCAAGATATATGAATACTTCGACAGTCACGTTGGTTGAATTCAAAGTAGAATTCAAAAGCTTCGAGCGGGAAGTTTAAATTTCAAACTAATGCGTTTCGCCATGAAGACGCGTGGAAGCGCCAGAATGTATGCATGTAAAAGGTGTCGAACGTGGCGTAATCTCATAGAAAGAACGTTAAGGTCGAATTAGTATAAATAGGAGTCTTAGATGTTAGGATTCAATGTGTTCACATCTTTGAACAATATACTCAAATACTCAAAGTACCAGTGTTAGAGAAACGAGTTAGTGAGACATGTACGTATGATGCACCATATTTACATTCGAAAGTTATTTACATTTAATAAAATTTCTTCTTGTCATTTATATTCTATACGATTTACAATCTAGAATAGTTTTTCTGTTTCATTGCTTTTATAAGGATACTTTATTTTGATATCAAAGTGATTCTCTTCGTTTAAAGAAGTTATCATCAAAATCTTTTTCCTAAAAACTAGAACACAATAGTCCTGAGATCAATCTGATCGATCTCGTAAGTAACTGAATCTTTTTTTAGAGATTTAAAAGATAAGCGATTGTTTACCAAATTACAGGGTAAACAAATTGGCACGCCCAGTGGGACCCTGTGTCTAGTTTTCAGTTTTTATCTAACTTGTTTAGTTGCATGAAATTAAGAAGTGGAAAAATAGTCAATACCACAGATCCTAGAATAAAAAAGCAGAACAATGGGAGAATGGATAACTCACCCGTTAGCAGTGCAAAACAAGTTCCTCCCTCCATGGGAGGGAATACAAATGCTTTGAATACAACCGAAGCCATGAGTCAAGGGACTACAATTATCCCTTCGACTACGAACGCTACAGTCATACCCCCAAATACAAGTGCTTCAACCATATTGTCAAACACACAAAATGAACCTTTTGTAATGTCTGTGGCTAGCCAAAATCCGCCTGTTTCCCCCAGACCTTAGTAGGCAGTGTCTCTAGAACTTATGTACTAGGATTCACAGTCCTAACATCAGATCCAATATATGGCATGCCAACTACATTCATGACAGGACTTCAAAATAACAATCCGACATACACACGTCCTTTAACATCAGCCTTCTCACCATTACAAGGATCGGGTTCAGGGGTAAATCATATGGCATGAAACAATTCGCAACCAGGATATGTAGCCTAATTGCCTCCTATTACCACAAATATGCAGGCAGTTTTAAGGCAACAGGTGGATAATAGTAACCACGAAATGGTGGGAATAGTCGCCCAATGAGTACAATCTTTAACCCCCTAATCCAAAGCACCACACAGACGAATTTGCAGAATGCCCAAGCAAACCAACAAATGGCAGCGTAAATTGGGCACCTTGCAGATTTTTTTGGTGCACCTAGAGACTCAACTCGACAACCACAACCCACATGGACAAGGGAGAATCAAGGCATATTGTTTTAGGAAGAACCAACCATTAACAAGGCCCAACCAATGATACACCCAGAAGTTGAAATTCAACAACCAGTTCGAAGGGAAGAACCACATAGATTTCAACAGGCTATTCCCAGGGAAGAATTACGAAGAAGGGTAGTCATGGTGAATCGAAACCAAGACGCTGACAGAATTCTCCAAGGGTGTCAACGGGATGATATGGTAGGAAACAATAATCTAGCAGCCATAGTCGAAAGAATAATGGTACGAAATGGAGTAAATATTGGCATGCGAAGGCCAAACTATATATCCCCTTTGTTTGAGTACATTCAGCAATCTGAGTTACCTAGGGGATGGAAAGTGCCAAAATTCACAAAGTTCTCTGGTGACGCCAGTGAGTCAACCATAGAACATGTGGCTAGATATCTTACAGAAGCAGGGGATATAGCAAACAATGAAAATTTAAGGATTAAATATTTCCCTAGTTCACTAACCAAAAACGCTTTTACCTGGTTTATAACTCTTGCAGCAAATTCCATCCATGATTGGACTTGTTTGGAGAGATTATTTCATGAATAATTTTATGTAGGTCAATCCAAAATCAGCCTAAGCGAATTGGCAAATGTTAAGCGCAAATTCAGTGAGCATATAGATGATTATCTTAACAGGTTCCGTCTATTAAAGGCAAGGTGTTTCACACAAGTTCCTGAACACGAGTTGGTCAAAATGGCAGCAGGAGGATTGGACTTCTCTATCAGAAATAAGTTAGATCCCCAGTATCTAAGAGACATGGCACAACTGGCTGACAGGGTTCAACAAGTGGAGCGTTTGAAGATAGAAAAAGCAAGGGCTAACAAAAGCCACAGGAAAGAAAGAGTGGCTTATGTCGAAGCATGCTCATATGAAAGAGATGTCGAAGATGACTCGTCAAAGGTCGAAGAGCACGAGATAGATCTTGCAGAATTAAAGCAAGGACCACCTTATCCTTGCAAAGGGCTAACACCTGCGAATGAGAAGAATCCCGTCAAACCAGAAAGGAATGACAAATTCCCAAAGAAAGCCTATACCTTCGACATCACTAAGTGTGATGAAATCTTTGACTTATTAGTAAAAGATGGCCAGATGATAGTGCCCCCTGGCGCTAAAATTCCTCCATTAAAACAACGGAAGAAAAAGGGTTTCTGTAAATATCATAATTTTTTAGGCCATAAAACCTCACAATGCTATCTTTTCAGGGATTTGATACAGAGTGTGTTGCACCCCAAAATTTTCTCTCCCATATTCTTCAAAATTTGTCAAGATCAATCTCCAAATGGTTCAAAATCTCTCAAGGGTTGCACAGTCCAATTGCCTCCTAACACAGTCAAAATTAGGGTTTTGGTTCTTGCAAGGAAGCTGAGGTTTTCAAGGGTCCAATCAAGTCCCATGTGCCTATATACATTGTCAAGCATCTACATGTCAAACTTCAAGGCTCACAGCATCAAATTGCATAATCAAAAGTCCTAATTGCTTCACAGTCAATTGCAGGGGTAAAATGGTCATTTTGCAGTCAAAAGTCAGAAATTTTGGTCAACATCTTATTTTGAGTCCACAATCATCATTTGATCAAGTCTTGATCATGATTCCCCAAGCATGGCTCAAAAATCATCAAGAAGCAAAAAGTTGCTAATTTTGGACAGTTGAAAAGTCAACTGCAAATTGACCAGGGCATAACTTTTTCATGGTTCATCAGAAAAATTCCATCCAATTCTCATTTTGAAGGGGATGACATTTCCTACAACTCATCTTCACATTCCAAGTCCAAGAAATGCTCTCATAAAAAGTTATCAATTTCTACATTATAGGTCAATTTCAAAAGTCAACAAAAATGCACTTTAAGTCAAAGACCATAACTTGAGATTGGTAAATCAAAATGACATGGGACCAAAGGCATTGGTTAGAGGACTTCAGGACCTTTCCAAAATGTCCAAGAACATGTTCATAGCTTCAAAATTGAGCAAGATATGCATTGGAGAAGTTGGGAAAGTTTTGGGAACTTTCAAAAGTCAACTTTGCCTAAAACACTTCATTTTTGCTAATGGGCCTCAAATTCCTTCTTGAATCTTTACCCAAGGCTTATGCACGACCCATTAAGATTAATTTGATTTATTTTCTCATTGTTAATTAATTAATTGAATTTTTATTAATATTAATTCATTTAATTAATTTTAATTGTAAGAAAATTCAAAAGATATGATTTTTAAATCTTTTGTGATGCAAATAAGACTAGGGCAAGCTGGCAATTCGTGTGCACCTCAAAGACATCAAAATCTCCATGATTGGCAAGGTTTTATCAAATAAAACTATAGTATAGTGGAATTTAAACAAACTACTATTGTTCTGAGATGCATAATTTAGTACAAAGTATGGCTATGGCAGCGCTACAGCACTGTAGTGTAGCAGAATTTAAATAAACAGCTTTTCTTTGCAATCAATCTACGAGCGGCAACGCTGGGTTTACTTCACATTATGTTCTATTCACTCAATTTCTCATTTTGTAGGTTTGATGTTATAGACCGTGCTATCTTACGACCTGGTAGATTTGGTAAACATCTTTATGTTCCTCTTCCAAGCCTAGACGAGCGTGTAAAAATATTGAAAACTCTTGCAAAGGGTTATATTATTGACGTCGGTGTGGATTTGAATGTCATCGGAAGAATGGAAGGTTGTGAAAACTTTAGTGGTGCTGATCTTGCTGAATTGGTTGCTCTCTTTATTTTATTTTTTTAGGGTTATTTGGATTTCATATTTGCTTGATTTTAGTGTTTGCTTAATGTGTCCAATGTACGTGTTTGATTATTATATATATAAGAAAAAGAAAAAGTCATTTTGGTGGATTTGCTGATTTTTTATGTCCTTTCAGATGGAAGTAGCAGGGATGGCTGCTCTCATTGAAAAGTGGGACTCAACTGAGGAAACTAGTGTCACCATCAAGACATGTCATTTTGATGCAGCACTGAAAAAAATGTCTCCCTCTGTATCAGCCCCGGTATGGTTCATCGGCTAAATTGCAAAACACTTTTCTTTTTCTTTTGATAAACTAGTGCTGGAAATTCATATTGGTTTTTTTAAACAGCAAAGGCAGTACTATCAACATATTTTCAAAGAGCCTTAAATTCAAATGAGAAGCAGGGGCAGCATTAGCAATGACCTATCAACATATAAACTTTGAAGTTGAAGAATATTGTTATGAATTACAGACTATATTTGATTATAATTTATCACACACTTAATCTTCTCTCATTGCATGAGGGCGAATGATGTGGCTTTTGTTATCGGTGTAAAACACACACAATCATTTATGTGAGAATTTTTTAATCACCATTTGACTAAATACAATCATATATGTCCTACCAAAAATAAAAAATAAATACAATCATATATGTGAAAAAAGGGTAAATTTTCTTTAGTTTAGACCACCAAAATGAGAGACATTGGATGATTCCTTAGCTATAGAAATATTAGTCATTGTGATAGTTTAGACTTTAGAAATTATTATAAAATTAGTTTAATTTAAAATAAAAAAATAATAGAAAATGTAAATGTCAGTGATAAGTTATAATTAATTAAATTTATATAAAAGATGTAAATGCCACTGAGAAGTGAAATGTTATATTCCTACCCTATAAACTTTGAAATAAATATAAAAGAATCATGTGTAAATAAGATTTTTTAGAATTAAAAATGTCTTTAAATTATTTTTTAAAACTTGAATTAAACAAATATTCCTATAACTATATTTCCAAAAACATTTTTTTAAACCTTGCAATATTCTCATAGCTATATTCCCAAGAAACATTTTTTTAACCTTGAAACTATCACATCATATGAACTTTAAGTATTGAACCAAATAAGAGAGTTAACTTTTATAACATTGACCACGTGATCAAACTAATTTTTATCACATGCAAATGATCACCAGAAGGATCGATTCATCATCCCTCTATCGGAAGGAGTTACTAGCATTATAAAGTTGCATTTGTTCCTTTTGATGGAGGAAATGGTATTGGACAAAAACGAAACATTACACAAATAGAATTTATCCTCTGCCCGCAAATACTAACTACTAAGCAATCTAGTAAATCAAACATGATAACAAGTATAACACCAATAGTAACAACAACAACGTGAACAAACATCTTAGTATCTTCTCGACCCCATTTTCCTCAGCGACGACACTCTAGGAAACTCGCCGCTAACACTAAGACGAGGTAGCTGCGGATGATTATTTTGTGGTCCAGGAGTTGCACTCTCATTAACCTTCCAAACCTTAACGGACTTATCCAAACTCCCACTATACAAAATCCACTTTCTCTCATTCAACATCGCATCGGGATCCTTCTCGGCCGCGAGACACTTCACCGGCCCGCTATGTCCTGACAACACTGACATGCAAACATGTTCATTACTCATTGATCTTTTCCACACACATATCGCCATATCAGCAGAACCACTAAATAACAAACTCCCAGCCGTCGCTAAACACAAAACCGCCAATTTATGACCCCTCAAAACTCCACTGTGTTCCAAATTTGTTTCCCTCACCCAATAATTCACCAAACCATCCGAAGAACCTGCGTATAAAAATGTCCCTTCCAAATTCAACGCTAAAGCTGTCACCGCACATTCTTGTTTCAACAACGTTTGTGAAAAAAAATGTTTCGTCGCTTTCCCTTGCATTTCTCGTCGCCACATTTTAACTGTACCGTCGGCTGAACCCGTGAAAACCAAAACGTCGAATCCGACGACAAGCGCATTAACTGCATCGTCGTGAGCCGTCACTGATTCCAAACATTTGTAAGTCGAAGAACGCCAAACCTTAAACGTTTTATCCCATGAAGCTGAGTAAATTAACGAATGATCTTCCGTTAAACTAAGACACGAGATCGCGTCATAATGTTTAATCCATAACATGTTACGATGTTTTTTAACTTCGACGTAGTTACTTGGTTTCATGGAGCATTTTATATAGTTTCTTAGCGTCGGCAATGTTGCGACTCTTCTGTGAATCCGTTCGTTCTTCCCGGAGACTTTCCAAACACGAATTCTTCCGTCTTGATGTCCGGTGAGAATTTTCTCACCGGCGATAACAATTGCTTTAACCAAACCGCTGTTTGATTTAAACCCCGCGAATTCCTTTTGGTTCTTCCAAACACGAATGTTCTTACTGTCGGAACCAGTGTATAATAAATCCTTAGTTGCCGCTAGGGAGTAAATATGACCTTCCTCGCGGACTAAGGAACCAACAAGAGCTTCTTCGCTAGAAGATGAAGCTTCTTCGTTGAGATGAGAGGACCAAGGTGATTTGGATAATGGCGAAAGAGTGGCGTCGTAAGGAGAGTTATCGGCTGCCATTAAAGGATCCAAATGGGGTGCGTCGATGGTGATGACGGGGCTGTTTTTTCTTGGATGATTCTCGGAGTTGTAACCGTCGAATTCGTCGTCGCCCTTTTTTAATTTGCCGTATCTTCTATTGTGAGTGCTGCTTCCGTCCCGGCTATTTCTTGATGAACCTGTCATTGTTATGGTTAATGTTGATTACCTGGTTCCTATCATGAAAAGGTTTTGGTTGTTTTACAGACAGGAAGGTTAGGGATAGAGAATAATGGTTTGGTGTTGGAAATGACAAGGTTGTTTGTTTGGCATGCAATTGTTGTTTGTTATGGCTAATTGTGTTATGCCATGTCATGTTGTGTTAGGATTAGGTGATGTCTAAAGAAGGGAATTATGTGATTTTAGATGTGGAATCAGTCAACGTACTTGATTTGGTCAATTAACTAATAATGACGCCTTTTTCTTTTTCTTTTTGATAATTGAAGTGCCTTTTTGTTATTCATGCAACAAAATATTCTCTTTGTACTTGGTTGTCTCATCTTAGTGTATTTCTAATTTTGAACAATATATATAAAATCCTAATAAATATATTGTTGGTATAGCTCGACGGACAAGGCAATAAGTATAAAGAGAGATATGTGAATTTAGAGTGATTTTGAATGAAATTAGAGTACAAATAATGTTTATTGGAATGACCTTAATGTGTTATAGAGTATACAAAGAGAATATGTATAGTCCACATCAATTAACCTATTAACTTTTTAAATTGTGTTTTGTGAGAATTTACTTGTGTTGCAAGTCACTTACTTGCAATATAATCAAATTGTCATTCTAGTTAAATTACATTGCCAATACTCTTTTAATTTAGATCGTTTAATTTTTTTCATTTCCATCAATCTTTTCAGACCTCTAAATCTTCGCTTTCTTTAATAGTTTGGTTAGAATATTTACAAATTGTAGTTTAGTCTTGCAATATCAAAGCGAGTTTGTTTAAATTTTTTTAAATGATTTTTGTAGTGTTACTATTATCTCATATTTTCAACACAACTTGAATGAGAGGTTTAAAGAAAATCTCAATGGTGATAAATTAACTTGAGTTGTACTCTAGTCAAAATTGGTCATTATCGACTAAAAGACCTATTTGTCTGAGCCACATTCGGTCAAAACATATATTGGATTGTTGGTCGAAGTATGAATATCATTAGAGGTCGAGTCGAAGACAAGATGTTTGAAGTAGTATGAAACTTAGGGAAATTTAGAAGCTTTCAGTTTTATGTTACCACTACAGATATTAACATTATCAAAGCAATGAGAAATGAATAAGATCATACAGTTACTAGAAACGCATGGAAGTTTATCATAGACAAAAGATGCATGAAAACGAAGACGTGTCAGACGTTGCTTAGTCGATTGTTGTAATAGTTATGTTAGAATTAGTATATAAGTTGTTCATGTTTATAGGATTAAAGGTCTGCAATTTTACACAAATTCTATATACTCAAAGTATTCAAGTGTTAGCGAGAAATAAGTTATTTGAATCAATGTATGCATTTGGGTTCTATTTATAAATTTAGTTTCTTTTATTTTTCATTGTTTTCATTTAACGCGTTCAGTTTTCATTATCTTTCATTTCGACATTTATTTTCAAATGTGTTTCAAAGCAATGATTTTTGCACAATTCTTCCTGGGATCTTTTTGAGTTTAATCCCTTAAATGAATCAAACTTGTCTTTGTTTACCAAAATTTTTAGTAAACAGATTAGCACGTCGAGTAGAACCTATATGCGAAAATTTTCATTTTTTTAAATGAATCTGCATATAAGTTCTTCATTTATGAAACTTCTCAAGGTCTTAGGTGTGTGTGAGATTAAGGGTAACCAAAAAAGACGATAGAAAATCAATAGAAGATACATTAGAATGGTTCATCCAAGAAACAATAATACCAATGGAGAACAACCATCCAATGCCAAAGTTGGAGGCACGATCGCTACGAATTTGACTGAAGCCAACGCCTCCACAATGAGCACGGCGGTCATACCTTCGATTGCGCAAAAAAGAGAGATAATTTCCCATCAGTAACGACGAGTCTCCCTATGAATACGTGACCAACCATGGCAAGTGACTTCAAGCCCTATGCCCCAAGTTTCACAATGCCTATGTTTAGTCTTGAACAACCTTATGGCATGCCAACATCAATGATGACAGATTTACAGACGAATGCATTAAAATTTGTTGATAACGCGACAACTGCGTATTCGCCATTGTTGGCATCAGGATTGGCTATAAGTAACCCTAGTGGAACCACGCAACCCCAATTAGGAGTGAGATTCGCTTCTCAAGCGATGCCAACCTTCACCATAAATTTTGTGATGGTGATGAGACAATAGATGGATGAGAGTAACCATGAAATGGTTAACTTGCTCACCCGACAAATGGGAACTATATTTAATCCTCTGATTTAAAATATGAATCATAGTTGCTAATAATTAGAGAATCAAATGAATCAATCACTGATTTCTTTGGCGCCCCTCGGGCACAAGTTTGACCGGTCGTACAACCCTAGACGGCTATGCCAACTCAGAATGAATGGGCAATCCATGAAGAAAACACAGATAATTAGGGCCAACAACTTGTGCGCTAAGTAGTCGAACAATAGAGGCTTAGATAAATCGAACAAAGAAACCCACCAACTTTTGGGGTTAGCCGAAATCAAGATGCCAATCAAGTAGTCCATAAAGCTTAGCAAGTAAACGTGGCAGGATAAAACAATCTTGCAGCGATG